ATGATGAAACACTATTATTATGCTTCAAAATTGAGTTATAGAAGAATAAGGGAGATTGTTTAAGTGAATATTTTCCGACCGACTCTTCAGCAAATACTAGTTTCGGGTCCCATCTTTAGCAGTAAAAAGATATTTCTATTTCGAAACTCGCCGAATAAAAACGAAATACCTGTGGCGAAGAAGTCGACAAGCCGCCGTCAGAACTGACAGCTCTGTCAGATCTATTACAGTGATACCACTCATACACTTTGTTCTCAACAGTTCAATTTCACGGCCGTATTATGAACTCATCACTCGAAATATCTTGCCCATTACATTTGTTAACTGATAATTTGCTGTTTTTTTTAACGAGTTATTTTATTAGAGCAGTGTTGGCCTAGTGGCTTCAGCGTGCGACTCTCATACCTGAGGTCGTAGGTTCGATCCCTGGCTGTGCACCAATGGACTTTCTTTCTATATGTGCATTAAACATTTACTCGAACCGTGAAGGAAAACATCGTGAGGAAACCGACATGTCTTAGACCCAAAAGGTCGACGGCGTGTGTCAGGCACTGAAGGCTAATCACCTACTTGCCTATTAGATTTAAAAATGATCATGAAACAGATTCAGAAATCTGAGGCCAAGACTTTAAGATTGTAGCGCCACTGATTTATTTTTTTAATTATTTTATTAAGAAATTCAATGAGATTGATCCCATGATTTTTAGTCGCAGCACCACAAAAATATTAACATGAAAGATATCTCCCACTTATTAAGAATTCAACATCTTATATTGTATTGAAACCCAGTTCCTACGAGGTCTCTCTCTCTCAAGAAAAGCGCTGTGTGTGAGAAAATTGCCCTGAAGCTAAATCAGGATAATATTGAAAAATTACAAATAATTATTGGGCGGAACATTCATGTACAATTACCAAGTTTGTATATCTCTAATCATTGTGTGATACCGTTTTTAATACTACTTCTCTAAACAGCTATCAATATTCAATAAATGTTTTTTATGTGTAAAAACTTTTTAGCAGAGATTTATATTCCGTATTATCCAAAGCCCCTTATGAAATATTATTATACTCACATACGATTATGCAATTGAATTATACACCGAAAGTAAAAGTAAGAATGTATCGGATTATAGGTCATTTATATTCGGAGTGCACGTACAGATGTTAATCACGCGCCACGGAACCAAGTTGGCAATAAAAACTGTCAGTGCGTTAATTTATGAACCCATAAAGTATAGAGCGAGGCGCCTCCGATGTTCCCGCACTAATAATTTTAACAAAACACCTCATTTTTAAGGTACACCAGTTAAGAAAAACGTTTAGGTATCAGAAAAAATAATTATTACTTGCTTCTACTTTCATTTCATCATAAGAAATAGTAATTTTGACTTTGTTTAGAATAAATTAGTTTAGTTTATTACGACTGCCTACCAGACACAACAACGTCACTCAATAAATTAAAAGAAATAAAAAATCATAAGTCACCCGAAGCGTAATAAAAGAAAATCAACATGGATATCATTTTAAATTAATAATTCAAAGGACATAACTCATTCAAAGGCTTGTTTATGAATAACTTTCATGAATATCCCCTCATTAAGTTATTTTTCCTTTAAGAGTTTTCCAAGAAATCTTTATACTTGCCTAAGAAAGTCGCATTAAATAGCTTATATTCAACACGTAATAATCAAGATTGATTTTTGGGAAAACAATGTTTCTGATAAATAAGTGACATAAGAAAATGGGTAAAATCCAGGGTAAACGGTGCGATTGCGGAAGAGTGCTGCACACTCTGGCACAGGATACGACACGCTTGAAGAGACTGCAGGCTAACCTCCAATAATTGGGGGGGCACTAAAAGAAGAAGACATAAGAAAGTCGCTTTTAAAACTTTTGAGTTGAAACTAAATTAAAATTATCGAATTAAGACAAAGAAATGTACTCAATATAAAATACGCTTTATATATGCGATATTAAGCGAGTGACTTTCAACTATGTTATCGTGGGTTTTAACTGGATTTTTCTTTTACATACATAGAAAATTCTTTTTGTATTGAACAATATAAAATGTTAACACCTGTGCTGGAATACAATATGAGCTAAAAGTACCTACTTGCGTTCTCCTATATTTACGGCTCTTATAAAAATATTTACGATTTTATATTTGCAGTCCTTGACTAAATATTAAAGTAATAAATTTATGTTATACTGTTTCCGTATTATATTTATAAAACGGTTCACAAGCTTATTTATTTGTTATAATTATTTCTGAAAAAAAAAACAGTTTTACGTACTTAAGAGTCAGATTTGGGACTTAGCTCCCATTTGTCATAATCTAATACGGTTTTAGTGCTTCTTGACTCTAAATCTAAAACCACGCGTTGACTCGGGTGTTTAATTGTCTTAATTGCTTCTTTTGATTGTGACTTCTTCTTACAAACTATCTGACAAGTGATGTTTCTATTGAGGAGGACTTTGCAAGCAAGCAAAGCAACCTTTTTAAATTAGAAAAATTTTCGTTAAATCTTTGATTGTTGTATTGCTGTATGACTTAGTACTTATGGATTCTCTATTCGTTACTTTAAAAGGTTGGTGAACTCAGTTTCCGACTAAGACTCTCATTAGGTCCGTTGTGCGTATAGTCCTGGCTAACTAAGCCAGCCTAGCTCCTTCCAGAAGCACAGAATTCACCTGGGCACTTCGCAGGCTTCATTGAGCGACCTCACTGCTCCGAGGATTTCTGTACGTTGGTTAGGCACAGCCACGCATTCCGGGACTACGTGGGTGAGTGATTCCTCTGCGCTGAAACAGCCTCTATACATGGGGCTGTCTGTCGCACCTAGGACAAAAAGATTTTTATTAAGGAGACAGTGAGAAAGTGGCCCGTAATTTACGTATCATTGTTTTGAGATTAGTTCTGTTGAGGCTTAGAAGTCGCTTTGTCATTGACTGGTTAACTGCTGGCAGATTAGATCGGAGATATTCATTTTTTATAGACTAAATCCCGTATGTGTTTTATTATTACCACTCTAAGACAGTCTATAACTAATTTAAGTTTATAGTACCTTTTTAAACACTGTATGAACAGAAACAACTAAATTAAAATAGAGAACATTCAAAGATAAATAAAAATTCTAAAACTAATAATAACATTGATAAGGACGAGATAAATACATTTCAAATGGATTCTCAGAAATCTTTATTATTTTCTCTTGAGCCGCAATTTGCGAAAAGAATCTCTCAGTAAACGTCAATCAAGTACACCGCTCTAAAAGATAAGAAATTGTGAAAACATACGGCTCTTATTTACTTTATCCTAAATTTTTAACGATTTCTTATTGAATACTGATTTATATTAGAACTATGGCAACTTTGGGCGTCTTAACAAATGTTTTATTAATAAGATTTATTTATAAAATATAGGTTTTTCTTTCAAAACTTTGATTTACATTAAAGCCCATTAATATTTAATTAAAGGATTTTATTGTAGCCATTTTGAATTAGGTAATATATAAAAATAAAAAAACCTTGTGATAATAAAAAAAATAACAATTAAATAAAAATTTAACTAAAATTTTCTAATTAATTTCATTTAAAATTTTCTATTGTTGTTTAATTGCTTTTTGTAGGTTTTAAAAAACCTTTACTTATCCTACATGTAAATTAAAACACGTGTAAAAAAAGTTATGAATTAAAATTTTCAAAATAGATTTTGTCGTTTACCACATGAAGTGATTCAAAATTTTATTCCGTATAAGAAAGTCAATGTAAATACATATTTCGGTACATTTTAGTAGATATGTCGTAAAGGAGAATGTGAGGGTTAAATCTCATTACTTTATAGCAGATGTAGGCCGGGAAGCTGGCACCGATAAAATGTCTATTACTATTGATTTGGGATTACATAAAATGCTTCCAAAAGTCCAAAGTAACTTCATAACTATAAAAAAACTATGATTTAAAGTACCGCAATTTGTATATATGAGAAGCTAAGCTAGTAAACCAAAGGCAATATTACAAATGTTAGAATATGTATCTTTTACGTCTTATTATCAAAGGGAATTCAACGTTTTTAATTACGAAATTACATAACGGTTTTTTATTTATACTAGCTGGTGCCCGCGACTTCGTCTGCGCAGGATTATTTTTTATTGTAGTTATGGTTCACTGTGGCTATAATGGCTAGCACATAAGATATAGATATATACTGCGGATTTTTTTGTAGGACTATTTAACATAAACATTTCCATCATACATTGCCTATGCGGTTTTGGCAGCGCACGCCAGAATAGCTCGCAGATGGTAATTTTTTTCCTACTTGATATTTTGGACAATGCACACAATATCTTTATAAACTGTAGTGTGTTATTCTGATATATAAGCTATATTATTGTAATGTTTCATTTAAATCTATTCAGTAGTTTTTACGTGAAAGAGTAACAAACATCGATCCATACTTACAAACTTTCGCGTTTATAATATTTGTAGGATTGGCGAAAAATAATTTAAATTGTTTAGTTTAATATAGCATAAACAAAACGTGTTGGTAATAATATAAAACGCAATATTTTTGAGATGTAATAGGCAAAACTGCAAAACTTATGTGTGTATTATATTGAATAAGGGAGACAACACGTGGCGCAGATTTACTATGTAAACGAGTGGTTTAAACGCGCGCTTACTTAAATAATAACTTAATATGATGGTACAGGACATATGAATTCTAGGCTCGAGCCGTTAAGAAAACAAATATAGCAGATTTAGGTTTTATCACTTGAAAGCCTTTTACAAAAATCTTGTCGTTACTACGTCACACAATGAATAAATTCCAAATGTTACATAAATAAGCAGTGTTGGCCTAGTGAGCCTAGGCCTAAACAGAAACATAAATCTGAGGCCCAGACCTAAAAAGGTTGTAGCGTCACTGATATCTATATAAATATAGCCATGGGTGAATGGATGATTGTTTGAAGACCAGTAAAGATTTAGGCCGGTAGGCTTTAGTAAGGTGGAGGACTTCTCTTCGTGCTTGTGGTCTTCTGCCACACCAGGGTCGGAACATCACGGCACTCTGCAATGAGCAAGAAAATTGAGATTAAAGAGGCGATCACTATCCCTTCGATAAAAGCAGGCTGCCGATTAACGGGTTCGCATCCAGACTCAACTAAGCTACAAAACAAAAGAATATTAGAAAGGAATTTTTGTTTCTCGTTATATTTGTCAAATAAGTGTCATATTTTAATTCGTCAGACGCTCGTTTATACAAACCAATTTTGTGAAGACACATGGCGTCATCTTTAATTTAATTTTAAACTCCGTATCGGTGTCTGTTGCATTCTTCCGCATCCACTGAGCCGAAACTTGAATAACTTTGTCTAGCGAACCGTTACTACGCCACGGTTTATAAGCTCGTGAAAGTTTGAAACAAAAAGTATAGTTATTTAACAAGATAATTTTAAAGTATGATTGGTGAAAAGTGATCTTCTTTAGGCGATTAAATTAATAAATTAAAATAAATCACTGGCGCTACAACCTTTTTAGGTCTGCCCTGCGATTCTGTAACTCACTTTTCGAACTCACACAGCGGATTTGGCATCGACGGTCGCTCTCATAATCAGTAAACTTGAAGCAATCATTTTATAAAATAATGATTTGAAGCGACCGCCATTCTGAAAAGGTGGGAGCTTGTAGTTTATTGATTATTAGATTTCTGCATCTATGTCATGATCATTTATCTAATAGGCAATTAGGTGATCAGCCTCCTGACACACGCCGTTGACTGTTGTAGGTTTAAGGCGAGCCGGTTTCCTCACGATGTTTTCCTTCACAAAAGAAAGAAAGTCCATTGGAGAACAGAATCCACTAGGCTAGCACTAGTACTGCCGATTAGATTAATAGTTACCTAATTGACGATAATTTCTACAAATTAAAGTTTAAGTTTTAAGTTTAAAACTAACAATCGAATAAGTGAACCAATCTTATTATTGTTATTATATGGGACAGTAGGCAAACGATATCATACACAGTTAAGTGCTTACCGCATTTAGACAACACCAGGAGGTTGCAAGTGCGTTGCCGGGCTTTAGTACGCTCTCTCTTGACAGCCCCTAAATCATATCGGTTCGGAAATACCTGAAAGTAAGAAGTGTCTTAAGCAGAGATGAATCCTCTTGAAACCTTATTTTTTTCAATATAGGTTTGGCAATCTCCAAAATATCAATGGAATAGGTCTTTGTCTCATGTTCCCAGAACACGCTGGATTTTGTGAATGTTCCATGCATACATAGCACCCAAAGCGTTATGAAAAACATCTCTTCTGAGTAATGTTTTCCCATAATCAATATATTGTTTTAAAATCTCATTGTAATATCTGAAGGCGTAGTAAAGTTGAAAATCTAAACAAAATAAGACAAGCCGTTTAAGATGTAAGCTTCAAACTTACAGCGAATTTGAAGTAATTGAAAAAGTTTTCTAATTATAGGCTTAGCAGATACTTTGAGTAAATCGCCTTAAGGGTAAACAACACCTCAGGAATTCGCACCCGGTGATGTCGGTCCGAGTTAAAAGCGGACGCGATAAGCTGCTTATGCGTTACAAAAATACTTGGCCAATAAATAAACTTGGTAATAATTTGTAGTTGAACTTTATTAAGTTATGGAAAAGAAAACCTTTTTTACAAAGCTTTATGCATATACTTTTATAGGATAAAGTTAGATTAAAAATGGACTTTGTTATAACAATAATAATAAAATTACGTATTTATAACAGTCTTCCGCCTTGGGTTAACGATAAATGTTCTAAATAAATTATTAATGACGTCCCACCTTTTAGTGGGTGCATTGTCGGCCTTTGAGGGAGGAGTAATCTTCCAGGGAACACCCCCGCTGGGAGTCGATTCCAACTTCGCTAGTTCACTATAGAAAAGGTCTTGTAAAGCGGACCTTGGAAGTCTTCCACCCATCAAGGTGATGCGGATGAAATTTTAAGTTAATACCGCTCGTACGGTATTGAAACGAGGCAGTAGGAAACAACCCAAACAACTCTTTATACCACTCTCCATAAATAAAACTTTGTAGAATACGCAAAAAGACGCATTATCTCTGCGTAGAGAGACAGAATCAAGTCGATCAGTTTGGTGATTGATAAATTCACAAGCCCTTTGCTAAATTTGGTCAAAAGGAGTAGAAGTACCTCACGTTTTATTACAAGAGGGACTTTTAACACAAGGTAGATAAGAAAAAGACTAAAAATCGATTTATTTATTCCCACAAGAACTGGTATTACTTATTAAAACATTACTCGTCGCTTAGGTCCCCAAACAAAAGTATGAAGCTTATAACTTAAACGCTGTTTACGCTTCTGACAGATCAGCGTATCTAAAACAAAATCACATCATGACCCCCCAGCTTCCAGCAAATTCGAACAAAATGGGATTATTTGTGAGAATTTTCATAATTTTACAGTTTTTGAATAATGCAGCATGTTAAAATGCAAATTTTATATTTATTGCTGTCGTTTTGATGCAAAATACCTTTGTTTTGAGAGGGGTGAGACGGTTATCGTTAAATTTTATATGCGTTTGAATTGCATTGTACAGTTAGATTTACTGGCTAAATTCTAGCTTATAGGCTATGATGTTTTGGTGTAACCAACACCATTTTACCTTTTATTTCAACTCTTGAGAATCTTTATTTACGACTACATCGTTGCATACAGAAATATAATACAATTGACATAATTAAATAAAAAGGAGCGCAACTGGCGGCCTATCGCATTCGAGCGATCTTTTCCAGGCAACCATTGCAAGAAAAAGAGCAATTTTATTAGATAAGGTAAGCAAGAAGTTCAAAAATACATAAGATTTAGTTATTTAGACAAAACTAATGGAAAAAAACATAGCAATTAAACATAATATGTAAACAGTAAAAGGGACTGTAATAAAAAATTTACACATTAAAAAGTATTACAGAGAGACAATATTTTTATATAAAATATTTATAGTGATTAAGCATATTAGTCTCTTGTTTTAGGTATTGCGTTCGATTCCTGGCTAAAACTATATTTTTCGATACGCAATTACTAAGTATGGACAGCCGCGGAAACATATAAATAATGACACGTTATATATTGCAAATGTCATAGCTTAAAGCATATTTCAGAATTAAAAATAATAAACATAAATTGGTTTTAATATTTTCCAAACCATCAATTTATTGAAGGGCGTTTCATTACGTATTCATAGAAAAAAAGTCCAAAAACTTACTAAACCTCTCGTTAAGTAAATTAATATGAGTATAAAACATGATTAAAAAACGTTGAAAAACTTAAGGGGACGAAATAAGGGAGCATCCCTCAGTGCTCTCTTCCTTGTACACGTTTAATCTGCTAATGTTTAATGGCAATTACGGGAAATGCGACTCTATGCCATATACTATTAAAGTGCAATAAATACATTTAATAGAAATATTACGTGAATTCTGTTTGTTTCTAACGTTATAAGTCGAGTGCGACGGGGCAAGACAATGGCGTTGTCTCTATTTTTAGCTTTTCATGAAAGATAAATCAATTTAATTTGTTTAACTGACAAGTTGCCATTATTTATAATTACTTCTGCGTTTTGAGGGAAACATAAATATCGAATGTGAAATATATATAAGTGTTATATATGGTTGATATAGTTTTAGTAGTTTAAGTTTGCGAGGTAATGCTGCCAGCGTTAAAGGTACACTGCCACAGGGACCAAATATTTAAAATTTGTTTTAATTTTCTATTTATTATTATTATTACTTTGTAGCTTAAGAATATTGTAAATGTGTGTGTGTTGGAAATAAACATCAGTGTACACTGTACAGTTTAATTTTAAGTGCAATTCTATACAATAAATAAAATATCTAACTAGCTGCTCACGGAAATATTTCAGAACCAATTCGACTCAGGGTCCTTGAACAAACGAGCGTAACATTTCTTAAAAGGCCGGCAACGCACTTGCGATACTGACTGACTCGTGATATCGTCGATTACCATATCGCTTAACATCAGATGAGCCCTCTGCCCGTTTCCCCTGTTAAAAAACATATAAATTTTGCATTACAGAAAATATACAACAGCATACAGGCTGGGGAATAAAAATTTAATCTAGATATTCATATAATCTCTAATTCTAATTTTAGTTGAAGCATATTTTGTAATGTAATCAGTCTATACGGTTGGGTCTAGATCAAAAACTCCAAAATACAAAACCGCATTCATGTACAATAAGTCCTCCCTTGGGAAATATTCGGTTCACTCATAAATTCAAATACGCCGCCTTAGCTCGTAGGTTACCTATCGTGTATAAAAATTTTCAATCAGCCTCTTATTCATATGCAAAAGTTTGTTCCCGAGTGAATGTATGTGTATTGAAATGATAATTGCCTGCGAAGTATGTATTGATAGACGAAATTGCATTTATTCATTGGGTACGGAAATATGTATGTTCGTCACGCACTTCGTTTTAATGCTTAGTCCTAGAGCCCCTAAAAATTATCAGAGTAACAGATTTAATATTTAAAAATATGGTTCGTCATTGACACTTTAGTAAAACATTTTTCTCTTAAGGGGGTCATCACTAAGATGTCATTGGTTTTTTCTTACATAGTAGCCAATCAGGCACGTGATCTTGCAGATATGTGACTGAGAAGCCAGGCAGAAGCTTCCCTAAAAAGGGACTTTATCACCCTTAACTTAAGACTGGTGGGCTTGGCGATTCCCACCGGGCCCGGGCGTCAACTACTCCGGAAGTATCGTCATGATATTCATGGGCATATCCGACAATTCTATGGCAGAATTTTTCCAGCTGCGATTTGTGGTCGAGCAACATGTAGGATAGCCCATCCCGGCATGCCCTCCCGTCCAGTCAGATGTCATTGTTACAATAATTCTTATTATTAAAAAAGATGATGCAACTTAAATAAACTTATATCATTATTCCGAGCTTTCGTAAATTATATAAAAAAGTAATGTACCTTTGTTTCGTACATTTCATAACAACAATATCATAATATCGTTGTTATGAAATTCCAATCACAAAAGTCTGCATGTTGTTAATTTTCTTTGAGCCTATCTGCTTGTGAACACAGAAATATTTTCCAATGGAAGTTGTTGAATTAAATTAATTAAAAATAAAACAATATATTTTAACTTCAGCGACTAGAATAAATAAATGATTAAACATATTATGTAACGATACTTAATATATACGTATTGCATTGCAATTATAAATTGAAGACCTTTGATCGCGAATTGAATTAATAAAAATCACAATATTGTTGGAGAGTTTTTTTGCATTGCATTGCGTAGTTGTATTGTTTTCACATTATATTTCAATTAAACGTATATTTAATGAGAAGATCCAAAGAAATACTCTTATCCAGAGTTCATTTGTCTCAAAAAACCCTAGACCTTACTGTTGAATTAAGTGTTGACTAAAGAAGATACTGACAGTACATCATTTTTGATTACTGAACATAAAACCATATTTAAGAAGCAAAATATATTAGCACTTTGTCATAATATTTGATATATCACGTTTAAATCGGGTTACCTGGAAGATATTGCGCCTTGGTTGTTAGCGACAATTATGGTGTTTTTCGTAGTTTGAGTATTTAATAAGTGTTTTATTGCTATCGAAATGTTATAGGGCGAAACGGATAATATAAATAAATCATGATACGTTAGAAATTATGATGAAACTGCACGCAATATATTGCATCACTTGTCATGCATTACTGCACTACGGTATAAAACTTTAATGCGAAATACTTGATACAGACAAATTTTAAGTAAAAACATCAAATTATAATACATGAATACAATACTATGTATAGACAATTTTTTATCCATTTAAATCATAAATGTTTCAAGCCTTTGAAATTTTACGAAATGGGTCAGTGATACGATGACCATATGCCTGATGTGACCTTTTGAAACGAGGGACCTAAAAAGGTTTTTACCTTTTTAAGCGAAAGTTACTGAATAGTTTATTTTACGCTTACTTTTTGAAGAGGAATGTGAATTGAATTTTTTCAAATTTTCCTAAAGCTCGCCGGTTTTGAGACTGCTTAGAATGTGCCGAGTTTTGTGTTACTTAGTTTTTAAATTTAGCTTCACTGGCCAAAAGGCCTTCTGAACTTTTGAATTTTTTCAAACGTGTAAACTTGGAATTTAGCTATTTATATAAGACATAGACATAGACATAGACATAACATTTATTAAAAACAAAAAACACACACATAAACACACAAAATAACAATACTTAAAGAAAACATAAAATAAAATAGAATAAAATTAAAAATTA